AGTGGGGAATACGGGCTGTATTGGGGGAATAGGGGCTCTAGTGGGGGGTAGGCGCTCTAGTGTGGGGATAGGGGTCGGAGGTTAGGGGCTCTAATGGGTTTTAGGGGCTGTAGTTTAGGAATGTGAGCTGCAATTGGGGGTTAAGGGATGTATTAGGGGAATAGGAGCTGTAGTAAGGAATAGGGACTATAGTGAGAGAATTGGGGCTTTAAGGAAGCTTAGGGGCAATAATGTGCTGTATCGGGAGCATAGGGGCTGTAATGGAGGGTAGGGGCTGTAGTGAGGAGACAAGGCCAGTAGTGGGGGGTTAGGGACTGTAGTGTGTTGGATAACAGGGTTAGTCATTAGAAAAAGCAGATAAATGTGATTCCAGATCAGGGTCAGAACCAGCACAAGCCAAACACAGCCCTGGCCAATCAGCATATCCTCATAGAGATACATTAAATCAATGCATCTCTATAAGGAAAGTCCAGTGTTTCCATGCAGAGGGTAGAGACACTCAATGGAAGTACTGTGGTGCCCCAGGAAGCACCTCTACTAGCCATCTGAGAAGTGGTCTGTGAAGGTATCCCTAGGCTGTAATGTAAACACTAAATTTTCTCTGAAAAAACTTTGTTTACTGCAAAAAGCCTGAAGGGAATGATTCTATTCACCAGAACAAATACAATAAGCTGTAGTTGTTATGGTGACTATAGTGTCCCTTAAAAAACAGTTGAAATTTCATCCAATTCCAGTCGTTAATTTTCTAGAGGTTTGTTGATAGATAAGAATGAAGGCCTCTGTGAGAAGCCAATTTTAGGATCTGCTTTTGAGAGCACGCCCTTTCAAAAATTTGAAACTTATTATACATAGATATATAAAACTTAGAACAAGCATGCAGCTTTATATACAATGCATTCTAAAGTTTTCTGAATTCCAGTTTATCTTGGATTGATCATTGTTAGTAGATATTAACATGTAGATTTTCATGAAAATAGGATTCTTTGTGTATGAATGTCATCATCCACTTACTTTTCCCCATGTTTGATCCCATGTCAATGTGTGTGGTTTCCCATGTGAATGTGGGCATGTGTGTTGTGTGACAGCTGCTATTTCCAGCATTTCATAGGTTAAAACCACATTAAATTTTAGAGCACATGCATACAATGTTAATTGTGTAAAATAGCATAGAATAGCATAGAACAGCTTTATTTACACTGAACTGTGGAACTTTATTTTACATTAAGATAGCCTTTTTTTAACAGTAGAAAGGTTGGTGGCAAGAATATAATTGGATGTTGATTAATGTCTCCCATACGGATTTATGAACGAATAAATAAAGCTTGCCACCAGTTTTTACTGCGTTTTTAACAATCGTGTTATTAAATCAAGCCATTATTACCGTTTAATGTGGTTTCCTGCCAATGCGTGGAGTTAAATTTTTCCCACCCCCAACACCGTAGAAAGTAATGTAGCACATAAAATGCTATATAGATTCCAGGCACAGTCCTTATTGTAGGAGTCCAGACTTGTATACCAAGTCTCATCCTTTCATCTAGTTGTAACTGTAGCACTGGAACACAGACAGCAGGCTTGTATCACTATAAGAAGCATGTGATCTCAGCAACGTATGGAGCAAACATGTGGGTTGCATCTTAACACAATGGACATTTTGGGCTGTTTATATAGAAAAGCAAATGTTCTGTGCTCTAATTAAAGTGAAATAAACATTCACTGCCACCTTAATGGCTTACGATAACATAAATGTGTTTTATAAGCATTACAATTTATTTTTGTAGGTAGCAGTTACACTGTTATCAAATTAACAACCCGTAGCATAAAGCTTTACTTTAAAATACGTTTCATTAGCATTCTGAGTAATGGCTCTGTAAACTGTGCTTTTCAAAGTACACAGAGAGATGGATTTGGTGAAAAAAATAGAAAATAATAATTAAAAAAATTATAATTACATTAAGACTTTTTTTACATAATTTTATATAAGTTTTTTAGTGGTCATTTCGTGTATTTTATGGTTTTATTGGGTTGATGATGAGGATAATCAAGGCACCAAGAGGTAATTTTTAAATTAAGTTCAGACAAACACTCATAATGTTTATTAGAGGGCAGGTGTGAGCTAGGGAATGTGACGAGAGCAATCTCGCCGCATTGCATTGGAGAAGCCTGGTTGCTCGCCTGCTGCCTTTGGACTATGGCCCCCTGTTAAAAGACATCTTTTTAACCTGCAGAAAAGATTTATTTGTTCTTTTCTGCCTGGTGTTTGGTAGATTCAGCTTAATTGATGAATGCTGGGTGGCCGCCATTCGTATCACGAACACGAGGTCGCGGCCATTTTAAACATGCGAATGCACAGCGGTGTTCGACGCTTAATTCATGGAACTAAAATCGGACACAGTTTTGCGCGAACACCGCTGAAGCCGCCGACCTCCCTTCTTGTCCGGTGAAAGTGCACGAACGGCCCGGTGTTCAGTAGTTTTACCTGACTGTATTAATACCCCAGATAGGAATCCCATGGAGCTCATTCATAGGAGAACTGACTGTGTAAAGACTTTGGCTCTATGGCGATTACATTCGTATTCGTGTGGTCTGAGCGCCATTCGCTTAATAATGTGCGCTCAGACCTGAGCTATCCTGAGATATGTTAAATGTATGCTTTTAATGTTATGTGTCTCACATAGTGCGTTTTAATAGTAATTCCTGTGTTAGTATCCCCATGTGCATAATGGCGATTTGCCTTTGTCTTGGGAGATAATTGAATTACTTCTCAATTATCTCCAAGGCAGACGGGAGGAAGCCAGGATGCATTGTGGGAATATAATGTGACTGTGTGTCCTATTTGTCTACTTGCCTGTCTTTTGTCACAGTCTCCCATTTGGTCCCCTAGGGAGTGTCCACCAGGTGGGAGACCTGCATAAATACTGGGCAGGTAGCCCTCATTAAACAGACCACTGCTTGACCCTCAACACGGAGCCTTGTCTCGTCTTTGGGGGGATTTACTGAATGCTGATAGAGACTGATTGCTAGGAGTGTAAGCCGCTTGGATGTTTTTCCTATTCGTCTGCTAGCAGCGATTCGTATGGTTCCAGTTCGTGTGTTTGGAGTGCTATATTGGATGCCGTTCGGGAGTTTGGAGCATTCCCTTATTGGCGGTTCGTGAGTTTGATGTTCTACAGTAGCTGTGCCTGCATCTCTGAAAAGGGGGACGATCGCCTAAACGGTTTTTACCCCTTGTGTGCAAAACGGTCCGTTACAGTGAATAAGTTATAATCAATAGGTGTCCATGGACTCGAGACCACTGGCCACTAAGAAATATTTTAGACTTGGTTACAGGAAACAGAGAATCCTGTGTTTAGTGGGTTGGGTTGGGTTTAGTTGAGTTTATTGGGCATAAACTAGCCTTTGAAAATGGGCCAGCAACTAGGCTCCCACCCAATAATGATTTCTGCACCCAGACTTATAGTAACAGAGCACTAACATTGCCGTTTCCGCATAACAGGGCAAGAAGCAAACTGCATTAACAATCTGTGTTTCATTTCACTACACCGATACTACTTTCCATTATATGTACATTATAAGACACATCCACACATCATTTCCACATTCTGTTCGTAGGTTTTAAAATCTTCATGAGTATGGTATATGATCATCTTGCAGACATTGTATGGACATTTGATCATTTTGTAGACATTTCACTATCGTCTATTGTATGTTCTAAAAGTTAACTTTTTCTTTCTACATATTTTCTCATTGCCATTTAAAATAATACTCTAAAATGTTAAATAAATAGGTGCATTAAAAAATGCATACATACCTATTTCATGAATATTCAAAAAAGAGGAAATTATTCAAAAGGGAAAATTCCTACCAAGAAGGAAGATATGGGGGGTAGATCAATTAAATCTAAAACTCTAAAACTGGTCCCAAGGTTACAATACAAAATTTCAACAGGAAATCTACAAAGTGAAATGACCAGTGGAAAAACTGATCAAAAGACCAGGATCTTGCATTTTAAATATATTAAAATAAATGATAAAAGAAAATGAATGCAGTAAATTGAAAACAATTCATAATAAAATATCAAATCAGGATAAACAGACCAGTAAAAAACTGATTTTAAAAAACTGCCAGTACTAGCTTATATGTGTGTTAAAAATAATAGTAAAATAGATCAATACATATATAAGATATTAGTAGTAAATAAAATGTTAGTAATAAATAAGATAAAAGAGTTACAAAACATCACAGAATCAAATCCACAATGTATCAGTCCTTTTAGTTTGGTATAAAGTATCAAATTTCACAAAAAACACTGTGGCAAACTGTTTAATGCTACAAAGTAGAAATTGCTTGTAGCTAAAATCAAAACCACACTTTCCTACATAGTATAGTACCCTGCAGGGAAAAAGAAATACCGGAACATAAATCTCCACAATGAGAAGATTCACTTATATCTATAAACTAGGTAGTGACGCAGATCCCCAGTCAGGAAACTATAATACAAGATATCTGTAAAATACAAAATGAAATACCATAGTGTTCTCTGTAAGAGCTGGATGTGTTATTGTAAAAAGATTAGGAACACTCACAACTCATGTCAGGGAACGCAGTCCTTACAAAATGCCACAAGCTTCTCTCCTTCTGTGCCGGCCAGGAATAAAGAGAGAATGATTGGTGAGCATCAACTTGTGCCTAGGACCAGTGTGCGTTTCAGCCACAACCTCAATCTGGTAAACGCCAGTATTGACACTCCGCCAAAGGATAAGAGTCTGTAAAACAGCATCGAACTCCAGTCTTACGTGTTTTGTGACTCGCTGGGTCACTTCCTCAGAGGCCTCTGGCAAAAGTTAAAGGGATTTTACAGTGTTAGAAATACAAATGTATATTCCTAACACTAGAGTGTAGTGATGTCCCGAACGGTTCAACGAACCGTTCGTGAACGGTTCGCCACGAACGGTTCGCCACGGACTCATCATTGAGTAAATTTTGACCCTGTACCTCACAGTCAGCAGACACATTCCAGCCAATCAGCAGCAGACCCTCCCTCCCAGTCCCTCCCACCTCCTGGACAGCTCACTAAGAATGTAAAATTGATGCTGTCCAGGAGGTGGGAGGGTCTGTGAGGGAGGGTCTGTTGCTGATTGGCTGGAATGTGTCTGCTGACTGTGAGGTACAGGGTCAAAGCTTACTCAATGATGAGTCCGTGGCGAACCGTTTGTGGCGAACTGTTCGCGAACCGTTCGCGAACCGTTCATGAACCGTTCGGGACATCACTACTATAGTGCCCTCTAGTCCCTCTCCTTCGCAGTACCCCATTGATGCACATTAATGGTTAAAAAAACTGAATTCACTTGCCTGATTGGAACACCCTTGTCCCTCTGCGCTGGGTCGGCGCTCCACCTCCTCTGATGTCATTTGACGAATGTGGCTAATATGCATGCTCTGCAAGTGCCGCAAATGCATTAGGTCCTCCCCATAGGAAAACATTGATTCAATGCTTTCCTGTTTGGATTTTACTGATGCTGAATGTCCTCATGCATAGCCATGCCTACTAATGGCATGGCTTTGATTGGTCAATGCAGCATGTGACCCAGCCTCTATATAAGCTGGAGTCACATGAGCTCTTATTAGTGTAGGGAGAGGATGCTGCAGCTGTGGGGGACAGATTAGGAAAGAATTCAGGTGTTGAATCTGCAAAGTACAGCGATTATTTTTGTGGGTGCTATACTACATTTATGTACCCTGCCCTGAGCCCACTGCCACAGAGAAATAAGCAATCAGTCTGTTTGTTAGGTGGGCACTTGCAACTGCATGTGTGCCAGGCACATTACTTTAATCCTGCTCAGATAGCTCATTGGACAACATCTAGGCATTTTTAAATACTGCTCTGACATTTGGCACTTTGAAAAATTTAAAATAAAATGTGTGCTAAAAAGTACATTTGTGGCGTGCACTTCATATCTGAGAGTGAAATAGAACCATCAAATACTGTGTTTACATCGCACTTTGAAAAATTCTAATATTTTTGGTGCTAAAAAGTAAATTTGCGGCGTACACTTCATATCTGAGAGTCAATTAGAACCATCAAATATTGTGGTTACATCGCACTTTGAAAAATTCACATTTCTTTGGTGCTAAAAAGTAAATTTGGGCCATGCACTTCATATCTGAGAGTCAAACAGAACCATCAAATACTGTGGTTACATCGCACTTTGAAAAATTCACATTTCTTTGGTGCTAAAAAGTAAATTTGGGGCGTGCACTTCATATCTGAAAGTCAAATAGAACAGTCAAATACTGTGGTTACATCGCACTTTGAAAACTTCAAATATTTTTGGTGCTAAAAAGTAAATTTGGGGCGTGCACTTCATATCTGAGAGTCAAATAGAACTGTCAAATACTGTGGTTACATCACACTTTGAAAAATGTAAAAAATTTTGGTGCTAAAAATTAATTTGGGGCGTGCACCTCATATCTGAGAGTCAAATAGAACCGTCAAATACTGTGGTTGCATCGCACTTTGAAAAATTCCCATTTCTTTGGTGCTAAAAAGTAAATTTGGGGCGTGCACTTCATATCTGAGAGTCAAATAAAACCGTCAAATACTGTGGTTAGATCGCACTTTGAAAAATTCAAATATTTTTGGTGCTAAAAAGTAAATTTGGGGTGTGCACTTCATATCTGAGAGTCAAATAGATTGTTGGTTGACAAATTCAAATTTTTTGAGACAGTGAAGTAACTGCATTAACCCCTTAAGGACCAAACTTCTGGAATAAAAGGGAATCATGACATGTCACACATGTCATGTGTCCTTAAGGGGTTAATTATGCCTGTCACACTGTTGTGTGACCACTAGAAATTGTTTTCTCTTTAGGACACCGGCACTGCCTTACTGTCAGTGAACTTAATTGTTGACTATTGGCGGTTACATTGTCGCCTGACATAAACCATCTGTTATTTTGGTGGGTGAATGCAAAGAATGAGGAGAGCGTCAAATTAGGGAGGTGGCCCTGGTCGTGGTGCTGCTGGTGTTGGTGGAGCTCCTGTTGCAGGGAGAGGATGTGGTTGATCTGTGCCAGCTACACGCACAAGTGAAGCACCTTTCTCAGGTGCGAGTACGCGACAGAACCTTCAGTGTTTTTTCTTAGGCCCGAATGCCGCTCTACAAATGGTGAGGCCAGAACAAGTACAGGCGATAGTAGAGTGGATGGCTGGCAGTGCCTCCAGTTCCTTCACATTGTCTCCCACCCGGTCCCCTGCTGAAAGCTCAGAACTGACACCTGCAGCCCATGGCCATCTGTCGTTCACCTCAGCCCCTTGCAAATCAGCCAAGCAGTCAAAGCCACAAGTCATGCAGCAGTCTCTTATGCTTTTTGATGACTCTGCTGGCGGGGTTTCTGTGGGCCATCCACCTAGCCCTGCCCCAGAAGTGTAAGAGACTGAGTGCACTGATGCACAACCACTTATGTGTCAGGATGTGGACATGCGAGGACCACCGCAGCACGTCTCTGATGATGAAACACAACCTGCATGACCAGGCATCTACATGCAAAGCACGAGCTGCAGTGGAGTAAGCACCTCAAAAACCAAGAAAGGTCTCAGGCTCCTCCTGCTTCCTCTTCTGCTGCTGTCTCGACCTCTTCCTCCACCTCTGGAGTGACAGTGGCACCTGTCACCCCGCAGACAGAGGATGTGGCAGCAATGCCACCACATCTGCCAACGTCCCCAAGCATCTCCACATTATCCCATGGAAGCGTTCAGCTGTCCATCTCCCAAACACTGGAGAGAAAGAGGAAGTACCCCCTACCCACCCGTGATCCCTGGCCCTGAATGCCAGCATTTCAAAATTCCTGGCCTTTTAAATGCTGTCATTCAGTCTGGTGGAGAAGGACAGTTTTAAAAACCTGATGGCGGTGGCTGTCCCACAGTACGTGGTTCCCAGCCACCACTACTTTTCCAGGTGAGCCATCCCTTCCCTGCACAACCAACTGGTGGACAAAATCAGGTGTGCACTGCGCAACGCCATCTGTGGCAAGGTCCACATAACCACTGATACGTGGACCAGTAAGCACGGGCAGGGACGCTATATCTCAATGTAGTGGCAAATGTAGTGGCGGCTGGGCCTAAGGCGGATAGCAGTATCCTTCTGCCACCGAGGATTGCAGGGCATTTCTCTTTGCCTCCTGCTGCCTCCTCCTCTTACTCCGCTTCCTCCTCCTCTACCACCTCCTCATCCGGTCAGCGTAACACCTTCACCACCAACTTCAGCACAGCCAGGGGGAAACGACAGCAGGCTGTTTTAAAACTCATGTGTTTGTGCAGGAGCTGTGGACGGGCATGGAAGTGATAAGTGGTTGTTGCCCCTGAGCCTCAAGCCTGACCTAGTGGTGTGCGATAATGGGCGAAATCTCGTAGCAGCTCTGGGCCTAGCCAGTTTGACGCACATCCCTTGCCAGGCGCGTGTGCTGAATTTTTGGTGGTGCAGAAATTACTGAAAAACTACCCAGATATATCAGAGCTGCTGCAGAAAGTACAGGCTGTCTGTGCGCGCTGTCAGCGTTCTCACCCTGTTGCTGCTCGCCTGTCTGCGCTGCAGCGTAACTTCGGCCTTCCCGCTCACAGCCTCATATGCGACACGCCCACAAGGTGGAACAGAGACTGTGCGAGCAGCAGCAGGCGATAGTGGAGTTTCAGCTGCAGCACGCACGGGTCAGTCGCTCTGCAGAACAGCACCATTTCACCACCAATGAGTGGGCCTCCATGCGAGACCTGAGTGCCATGTTGCGCTATTTCGAGTACTCCACCAACATGGCCAGTGCCTTACTATCCCGCTTCTATGTCTCCTTGAAAAAACGCTTTGGGCGATGATGGAAGAGGATGTAGCACAGGAGGAAGAGGAGGAGGAGGAGGAGGAAGAGAGGTAATTTCCACAGTTATCAGGCCAGTCATTCACAAGTGGCTCGGAGGGTGGGTTCCTGCACCAGCATAGGCCAGGTACACAATTGTCCAGCCAGGGCACAGTTTTGGAGTATGAGGAGGAGGAGTAACCGTGTTCACAGCAGGGTGGCATCCAACACAGCTCGTGGGCATCACTGGAGCATGGCTGGCTGGGGGGATACGGAGGACACAGACGATACACCTCCCACAGAGGACAGCTTGTCCTTGCCTCTGGGCAGCCTGTCACACATGAGCTACTACATGCTGCAGTGCCTGCGCAATGACTGCCACGTTGCCCACATATTAGTTTGTGCTGATTACTGGGTGGTCACCCTGCTGGATCCCTGTTACAAGGACAACATGCCATCCTTAATTCCCTTACTGGAGCATGATCAGAAGATGTGCGACTACAAGACCACATTGGTAGACGCGCTGCTGAGGGCATTCCCAACTGACACCGGGGGCACCACCAGCACCTCTGCAGGCAGTGTTAGCATGGCCAAAATGTGGAAAAGCTTTGTCAGCACGCCACAACAACCAGCACCACCAGCTGATATGGAACGCCTTAGCAGGAGGCAGCATTTCAGCAACATGGTGGAACAGTACGTGTGCACACGCCTATACGTACTGACTGATGGGTCTGCCCCATTCAACTTCTGGGTCTCCAAATTGGGCACATGGCCTGAGCTTGCCCTTTATGCCTTGGAGGTGCTGGCCTGCTCTGCAGCCAGTATATTGTCTGAACATGTGTTTAGCACGGCAGGGGGCGTTATCACAGACAAGCGCAGCCGCCTGTCCACAGCCAACATGGACAAGCTCACGTTTATTAAAATGAACCAGGCATGGATCCCACCAGACTTGTCTGTACCTTGTGCAGAATAGACATTTATACCGGCCTCACCCAGACATTGTTATACTCAAGTGCACTTGGGGGCTACCACAATTAAAAAAAACGAACAAATAAAAAACAGTGTTGGCTACCTCCTCCGCCTCAATCACAGTTTCCACCTACACCGCCACGGTCACCGCCTCATTTTAAATTTGTATGTATTTTATGTTATTTTAAGTTATTTCCCGATCCACATTTGTTTACAGTGCACTTGTCCTACTCTTACCCCCATTTTACTTCCTTTTGCAGCCCTCTAGCCCTTTCCAGGACTTTTTTAGAGCCATTTTAGTGCCCAAAAGTTCAGGTCCCCATTGAATTCAATGGGGTTAGGGTTTG